CACCTGGCCCTGCCCACACATATGAAGCAGCACCGGCCCACGCGCCACTCCGTCCCCTCCCGATTCCCCCTCACGGTGCTGAGCACCACAGGGATTATGTATACATATCTGGGGTGCTGTGTCCCCTCCCCCCAGGGGGAGTGTCAACTCCACAAGGATGGGACTTTGTCATTTTGTTTGCTGCCAAGCACCTAGCCCAGCCTGGCAGACGGCGGGCGCTCAGTCGGTGGGTGGTGAATGAGTGACCCTAGGCCAGCCTGGCTCAGAGAGCAGCCAGGGTCAGGGCCCAAGCTCATGTGTAGACAGACCTGGCTACAGTCCTGGTTCTGCCACTTTATCAGGTCCCTGGACCTCTGAGTCTCGGCTCATGTGGCTGTCATGCGGATAAAGAGAAAATGTGAGTCTCGCACAGCACCTGCCACAGTTGGTACGGCACGAGGTCTTCAGGGCAGCAGGGGCAGGTGGTGTGGCAGCGTCTCAGCACCACCTCCCTTCCCTGCTACGTGCCCTCCTGCAGACCACTCTCCCTTCCACACCCGCAGCAGGTCTCCGACCAGCTTCTGCCAGTGACATCAGAGCAGCGGCCGCGCGGACCACAGGCGGCAACTCCAGCGCCAACCTTTTGGGATCCCCGAACCCTGCAGAGGCCTCCCTCACACCCCTGGCCCTTCAACAGTTTTGTGAGCAGAATCCTTTTATGAAGAGATTTACTTCCTACTTGAAACAGCTAGGGGGGGACATATTCTTGACTGAATCCTTACTGGACAAGGCAGTTTCTAAAGTTTTCCCTGAGGGCACAATGCGGTGGTCGGGAGGGGCCAGGGTGTCCATCTGGGTGGCAGCAGGGTGGACACTGGTGGGCAGCTTCCTCCCCAACTTGTCTCCTCCCAACTTTGCCACCTTGGGTGGGCCTTACCTCCGGGGTGAAACTGTCACCTCCACTCCTTTCCCCGCCTTCCCCCGTCCTGCCACCCGCAGAGCTGCCCGTGTGCAGTGAAATACAAAGTGCTGCCCTGGCCGGTCTGGCTCAGCAGTTAGAGCGTCGGCCCTCAAACCAAAGAGTCTCGGGTTCGATTCTGGTCAAGGGCATGTACCTTGGTTGTGGTTTGTCCCCGGCCCTGGTCAGGGTCATGTGGGGGGCAACCAGTTGACGTGTCCCTCTCACGTTGGTGTTTCTCTCTCTCCCTCCTCCCACGCAATCTGAAGATAAATAGAAAAATATCCTCCAGTGAGGGTTAAAAAACAAAACAAAGGAAATACAAAGTGCCAGCCACAGTGGAAGGTGCCCTGCACCTTGCAAGGATGAACTCACTAACTCCTCTACTCCTCACAACACCCCAGTTTGGACAGCACTGTCCTCATCCTATTTTACACTTGAGTAAACTGAGACCCACGCGATTCAGTCATTTGCTAGCAACTCACTTCCTGGCTAGTAAGTGGCAAACCTGAGCTTCAGACTCACGGCTCTAGAGGCCGTGCTCATAATCACACCCCGTTCTCTCTTCCAGGCGTCTGCGCCAGCAGCTCGAGCTGCAGATGAGACCTCGGGCCCTGGAGGAGGCAGAGTGAAGAGATGGTGATGAGCTGATGCTCGTTACGTGCTTGAGAATCCACCAAGGTCCTTTCTCCAGCCTCTTCTCGTCATAATCACTTCCACTGCCCCACAAGCCCCGCAGACCTCAAGCACGTGGCCTGCTTCCAGCGGCGCGGGGAGAGGACGTCTTCCCTCTGCGGGTGGATGGAGACTCGGCACGGGGTCTGTGGGAAAGAACACAGCTCAGACCTCAGCTCTGCTTCACTGTCCCTGCTGCCTGGGAAGTCCTGTCCCCCTGGGGGCCTCGGTTCCTAACTGTAAACACAGAGGGTGGGCTGGGGATCATTCGGGGCTCTTCTGGCATCCACATCCGAGAATCCTGCTTTAAAGACATTTGAAAACCACGATCTTTGGTCAGGGCAGGAATGGAGCACACATTTCACCACGCCAGGCTGGGCTGGGTGGACCGGGCCGGCGGCTGAGTGATGGAGAACTGGAGCGCCAAAACCTCGAGCATGGCGGGCGGCCAGAGGGTGGGTTTGCCTCCAGAACAGACAACCGGCAAAGGGGTCCATGGGGCTGCAGAGGCTCCAGGCGTGCCGACTGAACCAGGGCTGCCCCTTCTCTCAGCAGTTTCTCATAGGAAGCCAGGCTGGTTGTCCCCCTTTAGATAAGCCAACTTGAGTCACTGATGGCCACCCTATGCCAGGTGCTCTGCTGGACACTGAGGCCACAGGGTGAGTCAGACAAGGCCCCGGCCTCTGGGAGCTCCCAGGCTAGCGAGGGAGACCTCAGGCGTCTAGCCTCCCTCGGTTCCCAGCTGGAACATCCCTCTTGCAGGAGCCTCCTGGCTCCCTCAGCCGTGATTCCAGTGTCCCCCTGGCATAGTGCACACCTAGCCGACCCCCAGGAATTTTCCAGGGCACCGTGACCCACAACCCCTGAACACTGAAGAAATCAAGCCAGACCCTGGCAGCTCCACCCCATGAGGGGATTTGGCAGCTACAGTCAGAATTGTTGCTTGACGCCCTGGCCTGTTTGGCTCAGCGGTGGGAGCATCGGCCTGCGGTCCAGAGAGTCCCAGGTTCGGTTCCTGCTAAGGGCACGTACTTAGGTTGCAGTTTGTCCCCAGCCCTGGTTGAGTTGTGCGGGTGGCAGCCACTCGATGTGTTCCTTTCACGTCAATGTTTCTCTCTCTCCTTCTCTCTCCCTCCCACTCTACCTGAACAAGAAATGAAAAAATGTCCTCAGATGAGGATTAAAAAAAAAAAAAGAATTGTTGCTTGGCAACAAGACCTGGTGACACAGCTGACATCTGTCCTGGCTAGAAGGAAAGGCACCAACCTGACCCAGCACCAAGGCCCTGGCCCTTGGCTAAGGTTATTCTGTGCTGGGCTCAGAGGCTCCTAAGCAAGATCATTGTGCTGTCCAAATGTTTCAGGTGACCTGCAGAGGCAGGGCTACCCCAGGACTGAGGAGAACGCGGGCTTTGAATCCCAGGCCTGCGAAAGCTCTGTGGGCTTCAGTTTCGTCATCTCTAACATGGGCTAGTAAAGCCTACTTAGCAAGCCACTGCAGCAGCTGAGAACTAGCCACGTGCACAGGTGCTGCGGTGTTCCAGAGAGGCGGCCCCTCCTCCCACCTGCCCGGCATTCACACCAGGACGAGTCTGCACCACAGCTCACTCTGGGCCCCCTCCCATCCTGTGCCCCGTGGGCTGGGCAGCACCCGCTGTGATGAGATACACCCTGCTAAGTCCTAAATTGGCCATAGCCAGAGCAGCAGCCCCAAAGGGCTGTCACCTGGGAAGAGATGGGAAGGATCTGTTCTAACCGGTCTGTGGACAGACCCTGCCTCAGGTACCTCGCCTGGCCTGGGCCTGACAACCTGCCAGTGGACACCCACTGGCCACATCTCCTGTCTGTCCTGTGGTAGAGGCGGCCCACTGCTGGGCTGCTGGCAGGGCAGAGCTGGGCATGGGCAACTCAGCTGGGATTTGCCCTTCATTCCACAGGGTGGGTGGTGCCACGGAAATACATTCTGCAGTCGGATGGACTGGGGTTCAAATCCCAGGTCCACTCCTTACTGGCTGTGATCCTCCTGACCCTCAGTTGTCCTACCCTGAACGTGAGACTAGGATTATCCACCTTGGAGCATGGTTGTTGGGACCGATATGGAGAAAGGTTCACTTCTGGACAGACAGGCAACCAGTGGTCCCTACACAGGAGGTGGCAAGGGAGGAAGGCTGGGGCAGCCCAGACCCCAAGCCCGCGCCAAGGGCACGGAATTGACCCAGATTCCCTACCCAAGTTTGTCGGAAGTCCTTGGAGGGACTTAATTGGGATGGTATCTCCTCCGGGGAGAGAAGACCCAACGTCCACCAGTGAAGCTGACGGTCACATCAAATCTGAAAGGCGACTTGGTTCTTCCCGGCCTTCCCATTACGCATGAAAGAGCAGGCGGCGGGTGCTCAGGATTCATAATTTGAGACATCCAGAGACTAAAGAGACATTGGCCAAATTTAAACAGAAAGATGAACTTGTTGGGTGTCTTTTCTGATTATGCGGGAAGAAAGGCGAGAATTTTAGTCATCTAGGATCCACTCAGAATTCATAGCAAGTTTGCCCGACGGCTGACATCAGGGTTCTGAACACTTTGAGTATCACTGTTTGAAACAGACAAAAGGATGAACGTCTGAGAAGACCCACTGGAGCCTGAAGAGAGCGGCCCTTCTGTGTGGGCACTGTGTGCGGGTCACCAGGTCACGGCACCACAACCCTGGCTCCCTGGAGGCAAGAACATGGTGGGTCAAGGGTCACACATTTCTGAGTCTGGCCTGTGGCTCTGCCAAGTGCTGGACGCATGACTGCCTCCCTCCCGGGGCCAATCCCATCTGGGTTCAACTGGACGGCTGTGATGAGATCAAGTTGAGAGCTCAGCTGAGCCCTGGCACAGAGTAAGAGCTCAGTTAACAGGGGCTGTCAGTTGACTCCCTTAAACATACTTAGTCCCAACTGCCTTCTGCTCTGAGATAACCATGACATAAGCCCTCTAAGTACACCCCCAATATGATAATGGTCACCTGAGTCACAGAACTCGGGAGGTGGGCAGGGTGGTAGGCTTACTCTGCCCTTTTCCCAAGTGGGAAACTGAGGCTCAAGGAAAGAAGTAACTGATCCAATGTCAAGCCCTAAAGTGGCAGAGCCAGAGCTAGACCCTGGGTCTCCCGTTACTAATGCACACTTTCCACCCCTACCCCAGCCCTGCCACCCCCATGCCACACCGAGTCCACTGCCACCCCCAGCACTAAGCCCCAGGCCCGGTTTGTGTTTGGCACAAAGTTGGTCAAATGAATAAATTTGGGGACCCATTTGAGAATGTGATGGAAATGATGGACAACCTCCCTAGGAAAAATATACACACAACCCTATGCACACTTGGGGCTCACAGACTCGGGCTCGGAAGCCCAGACCTGGGTTTCAGAGGCCTCTTCAGTGCTGACCCTGCCGAGCTGTCCAGAGATGAGCTCATTACACCCCCATCTGATAGGTGAAAGGGGGTCCCGCTGGGCTCCCTCCAAAGGACCAAAGACCTTCCGTCCCACTTCGGGGCCAATGGTCACTGCTGCTCCAACCACCAAAGGGCAGGAGCTGCTGGAACCACCCCTCAACCCCTGCCCCATCCAAGTGTTCTTTGTATTTAAAAAAGAGAATGTTTATTACTTGTCCTTTCCCTCATCAGACATTCCTTTACAGCAACACAAAGGAAAGCAAACAAGACTATCTGTAGACACACAGGGAACACACCAACTGTCAGTGGCCAGGGACCATGACGAAGGCCACAGTCCAACTCACACAAACACAGCCTGGCCTTTCTCGGGCTCCTGGACTCGGTGCCAAGGACGGCTTGTGTGAGGCCCACCCCTCGGCCTCGTGACAAGAACTGGCTGATACCAAGGTCTGGGAAGGGCAGCAGGGAAAGGAAGTTATAGTCTGATAAAGACCCTGCAGATCCCACCCACTCGCACCAGGCACTTCTGTCTGTGCTTTGGTTCAAGCTTAGTTAGGTGAGTAGGTTCTAGGAAACGTCGAGTGGTCCCTGGGCTGGTGCCACCGGCTCTGCGATCAGCAGTGTCTACAGAGGTTAGCAAGGCCGGGCCTGGGGGCACCTCGGGATGAGCAGGAGGCTGGCACCCCGGCAGGGGTTTCAGGATGTGGGGAGCCCTGTGGGGCTGAAGGGGGAGGCAGGAAGGAAGACCCTGAAAACAGACCGCTGCTGGTGTGTCCCAGCCAGGGTCAGGGTGTCAGGATGCGCAGAGTTTGGTTTGGTTTAATCGTTGGAACCAGCAGCCATGAGAGCCAGCAGAGCACGTGGGCCCCTGCAGCCCCGTGTGGAAAGGCACCAGATGGTTTGTTACAAAACACACTTTGGTCAGAAAACAGCTGGGGTTTTTGGTTTCCGAGAGGACAACAAAGCTAGAAAAGAGGATGTGGGCCTGCGAGGCACAGGTGAGAAGGCAGCTTTGGCATCGGGTCTGCACTCCACTCTAGCTCGACCCCGTCCACGCTGGGGGCCTCGGTGCTCTCATCTATAAAAGGGCAACAAAATACTCTTCCCCAAATCTGTGTGTGAGGTTTCCCACATTCCCCCAGGAGGTATGGGAGGTGGGGCTCAGGGACACTCACACGACACACAGACAAGAGTGAAGACTGAGCACAGCTCATCAGTATGGGGGAGAAGGGGAGGGGACCCGATGGAGGGCAGTCATGCCATCAGACTCTGGTGCCCAGAGGCAGCCAGCTGTGCTGGTTCGGAGCACGGACGGGACCACTCACGGGGACTCTGGGCTCCTGCTCATGGAAGGGCAGCAAGACAGCTCCTTGCACCGCAGCACCATCGAGCACCCTGGGAGCCACACCTGCTGGGTGCGCTTCGAAGTGCCGGCCGTGTGTTCTTTGGTCAGGGCTGCCCTCAGTCTTTGAGTGCCCAGGTGCAGGGGCTCAGGCCCAGACCGGCTGGGCCTCCGTAGCAGACGAGCTGGAGGACGCAGTCCTCTCCTGAGGCTGCGCTGCCCCCGCGCTCTGAAGACGATCGAGATGAAGGCTCTGGTTGCCCTCAGTGAGCAGCGGGGCCGCCTCCAGGGAAACCTGGGTCCTCAGAGAAGAGGGACAGAGAAATGCTTCGGTCACCGTCCAGACTCCGCAGCAGAGCAGAGCTTGCTCAAGACAAGGCAGGGAGGTGGTTGCAACACTGCACTCGTGCCTGGCACAAAACCAGCTCCCGAGCTGAACCAGAAGTCACTAAACACACATCCAAGGCACCTTTCAGCTCCTAGAGAGCGGGGTGAGAAAAAATGTCTCCTTCCCTCTGCTTGACTGGCTGCAGCTCTGATCTGCAGGCTGACGGTGCTGCCCACCGGAAAAGGGTGGCTGGAGGTTCTGGGGCTGCCCCACCCCAACCACAGGTGGCTTTGGTCATATGTCCCGCCAGCCCTGGGTGCTCAGAAGCTGAAGAGGTCCTCCTGCTCGGCGCCGCTGCTGTCAGGCTTGTCCCAGTCGACAGGCGAGAGGCACTGGGCATAATGGATGTCCTGTGCGGTCAGTCCAGTGTCCAGGACCTGAGGGTTCGTCCGAGACTGGGCGAGCCTGGAAGGCAGAGCTGTGTGAGCCGAGGGCCAGGCAAGGGGCTGGCAGGAGCCCCGGGGCCAGTCCACCTGGCCAGCATCAGGGTCAGAAGTGAGAGGGCACGGGAGGGAAATGCCAGGACACAGGGACCAAAGAAAGGCCTAGATGTCAGGAGAGGTGGAGTCTCTGAGCAGAGAACCTACCCTTGAGGGCCAAACAACTCAGGAAACCGTGGGGCGGGCAGTGGCATCCCCGCCAGAGGAGGCTGGGCACCCACACTGTCCACGGCGCCATCAGGAAGTGCCCAGAAAGGAAAAGGACCCGAGGGCAGTGAGAGCGGCCCACGTGGAGGGGGGTGGCACAACCTCGCCACTACCGGCCAGAACTGTGTTCAACTCGGCGCTGTCCAAAAATGAATTCAACTAACAGGGGGACAACCTAAGGGGAGAGCAGGGCAGAGTTAAGTAAATTGTGGCCCAGTCCTTAAAAGAATGCGAGGCAGTGGATGAAAGACATGTGCCCAAGGCGTTTTCAACAGCCTGGAGAAATGCTCCTGAGCTGTCAGTGGTAAGTGAAAATCAGGGTCCCCAAATCCAAATATGACAAACTGATCAATGCAAAAAATGTATATGTATAAAAGTAAGCCCAAAGTCTGGGCTGTGGGATTATGGGATGGTATTATTTCCTGTTTAATGCTTTGCTAATTTTTGAAGTTTTTAATAAAAAAAAAATGATACTTGCCCTGGCCGGTATGGCTCAGTGGTTAGAGCGTCAGCCCATGGAACAATGAGTCGCGGGTTCAATTCTGGTCAAGGGCACGTGCCTCGGTTGCAGTTCTTCCCCGGCCCTGGTCGGGGTCGTGCGGGAGGCAGCCAGTCAATGTGTCTCTCTCACGTTGATGTTTCTCTCTCTCTCTCCCTCCCTCTCACTCTATCTGAAGATAAATAGAAAAATATCCTCTGGTGAGGATAAAAAAATAAAAAAAAAAAAAGAAAGAAACATGATACTGGGTAATTCTGGAAAAAGCAAATGGAAGCTTTTCTTCAAACGACGGGCAGTAGTCAGCCAGCACAGCAGGGAAAATGGTGAAAGAACATCTTTGCCTCCATGAAGGAGCCACACACGCCGCTCCCCACCGCCAGGGCCAGGGCTTCCACCAGACTCTGGCAGGAAAGACCTGGGGAGGAGGGAGACGGATGTAGGGGGCTGCTGAGTGTCCCAAGGGAGAAAGGGAGGCCCAACTGGGAACCCTGAGCTGCCCAGGCCTCTGCTCAGCCTTCCTGGTGGCCTTCCGCAAGCTAAAGGTAGCCATGGCTACAGGACTGGCCCCTGGGGAGATGGGGAAATACCACCACCTCAGGCTGGACGAAAATATCTCCTTGTTCTGCCTGACATTCTTCCTCTACGGAATGCTCCATGGCTTAAGTGAGCATTGCCTTCTCCCTGCCCCTTTCCATAAATGTAAAACCTCAGGAGGGAACACAGGATGCAAAAAAGCCAATGGTTCAAGGTTACACCAGGTGCAAGAAGAGGAAATCAGCCTGAGCTATAGCAGTGTGTTTAGTTCAGTTCAGACTATGGTAAAACAGCCACTAGGGATAGTTTTTGACCTAAAAGCAAGAGCTTCCTAGCAGACGTGGCTAACCCTAGATAGTGAGCTCCCCATCCATGGAGGTATTCAAGTTGAGATTTTTCTTCTGGAGAAGGTCAGAGTTCATGTTCTCAGACATAGCAAAAGGCCCCTGAGACCAGCCCACAAATGCCAGGTCTTCTTCCCCAGTATAAGGAGCCCAGTTAACGTTACCTTGAAAATGCTTCATCCAGATCGTCATCCAGCTCCTGGGGGAAAACAAAGTGGCAGATATGAACCCTAGGTTGGGGACCCGTAGCTCATACCTGGGACTTGCCCCAGCCCTGGATAAGCTACAGGGACTCCAGACACAAGGAGTCTGTGGGAGCCTGGAGGAGCAGGCACAGGCTGGCCTCCCGCCTGCCACCAGCACCTCGGCCCATGGACCCAACCCTGGGATGTGGAACAGGAGAAAGGGCATCCGGGTGCTAGACACCTGGGTGGGCTCAATCCTGGCTTTGCCTCTACACAAGTGACCCTTTAGGCAAGTCACTCCTCCTGAGACTCAGCTTTTCCTCCCATCAGATGAGGAGCTGCTGAGGCTCTCAAATTCTGAGCAGAAGAGGGTGGGAAGGTTTTCTTGCTTTCATCCACTTCCAAAAGCCCAGCCCAAATTCCAAGCCCAAGGGATAACAATGGGCGAGCCCCCCCCCCCCCCCGCAGTCGCCCTGAGAGCGTGGGCCGGTGCCAGGGGTGGTTCCAGACAGCAGAGCACAGGCTCAGCGCCTGCTCGGCGGACACCAGGTACCCACACGGGCAGCGGGAGATGAGTTCTCCATGTCTCTCAGCGTGCCAGGTTTTTTAAAATTAAAGAGATATGACAAGTAATGTGTGATTCTGCAATGGACCCTGGACCATAAAAAGGACATTGTGGCAACATGTGGAGAAATGTGAATAAGGCCTACAGATTACATAAGTGTTGTATCAAGGTTAATGATTTTGATCATTGCAATGTGGTTACGTAAGATGCTAAGATTTGGGGAACCTGGATGAAGGGTGAACAGGAATTCTTTGTACTGATTTTGTAACATTTTATAATTCTGAAATTATTTCCAAATGAAAAAAAATTTTTTATTTGAATTTGAAAACTCAGGTTCCTCTGGGAGATTCTGCAGGCAAAGGCCATTATCCTCGATGCAGGGATGACAAAGCTGACAGAGGTCAGGGGCCAGCTGCTGACTGCCCGAGTCAGACCCCTCATTCAGACAGCGAGGGAGGAGTGTCAGGAGCACGCGGCCCACAGAGAACAAGGGGGCCTTTGGCTTGGCCTGCGGTGGGCCGAGCTGTGGATGCTCAGGCCAGGAGGCCAGGCATTGTGAGGAGACAGCTGTGCTGGGAGCCAAGTCTGTTGGGGACATAGCCCTGGGTTCAAAGAGGACATTGTTCATCCCTTTCCCTGGGCCTGGGTACTGCTGGGCTGGCTCTGGCCCTCTCAGATGCCCGTAAGTCATGTGCCAGGCCCTGGACCACCCTTAGGCCTCATCCAGGGATAGGCTGAGGCTCACTGGATCCCCGCGGGGTCAGTAGGGCACACGAACACTCACCCAGACAACACTGCTGTTATTCAAGGCTGGAGGCCTCGGTGCTTCGTCGACGTTAGTGGTATTAGCGCTGACCGTGGACAGCGGGGCCTTGGCCATCTCTTCCAAGTCCAGCAGGTTCCCAGTGGCGACCACTATGAGGGGTCCGGTCAGATATGTCAGTGGGAGAGGAGCCTCCTGTTTCCTGGCCTCATCTCCTCGTCCATCCTGGTGCCTCCTGGGCAGTCCTGGTCCTGACTCCCTCCTTGGGCATGGCCTTTCCCGGGCCTATCACCCAGAACACCCAGAGCCCCACCTTGGTATCTCCCAAAGCATCTGCACAGCTGCCTACAACTTGAGAACCTCTCCCCAATTGATGGTTTAGGCTGGAACTTTTACATTCACCACAGGTGTTACGTTTTAAGAGACCCCACAGGATGTAAAGTATATATGGAGAGGTGGACACTCATATTTTTGCACAGGGACAGATCTGGAAGAACATGCACCATAATGAGTAACATGTCCCATTTATCTCCATTTTCTAATTTACCTATAACGATCATGTACTATTTATTTAACAACAAAACAAAACTAAAAAACCAGGAGTTTGCTCCAGCCCAGGAGGGAGTGGGGTCCTCTGGGTGAAGGGCAGACCCTGTGCCATGCAGCTGATTCTGGCCCCTCCCCCTGCCCAAGACTCACGGTTCTTCAACGAGGGGGTGCTGTCACCGCGGCCCCCGCCCGGGCCATCCCCTCCCTCTTGGCTGGCTTTCTCTCTCTTCTCCTTCTCTGTGGGACCAAGGATGACGCTTTATAGCCTCTGACCCCAGCACTCCGTCCCCAGCAACTGCTGGGCAGGGAGTCGGCTGTGGCCAGCCTCAGGGGGCAGAGGCAGCTCTCCAGCAGGGAAGAAAGAAACTGCAGATTTCAGTTAATCCCCAAAAGCACCCTGGGGGGAGAGACAGCTGTTCCCATTTCCTCAGATAGGGACACTGAGACTCAGAGAGGTGAAGGGACCTGTGCAGTCACAAACCAGGTAGGTGATGAAGGCAGGCGTCAGTCCAGGCCTTTACCAACCCCTCCCCAACCCACACTACTCCATCAGGCTTCTTCAACGCCCCCTCTACACCACCCCCACCCCAATGTCTGTGAACAGGACTCACCTTCCTTGGATACCTGCCAAAACTCAAAGGCAACTTTGAAGGCCTGGGCTACTGTGAGGGTGACAGCCTGGGCCTGAAAAACAGGAAGTGGGATCAGGGGAGGGGTGCAGTGTTAGGTAGGTCACAGTAAGTCAGAACTGGAGGCTGGGGGCTCCTGGCCAGGCCCACCCTGGCTCCATGCCAAGGCCTGGAAGGCCTGATGGGTGGAGGCAGAGTCCCAGTCCCTCCTAGGTCACAAAATAGCCTGGGTTCTAGTGAGGCCACACCCTGCCCAGGCAGCTAGGACCGTCTTCACCACCTGTAGCCCAGCCAAGGTTCCCAACCTCATTCCAGCCTCTACCCTGGTAATGGCCGTTCACTTCCACTTTTTTTCCTTCCTTTTGGGCTTCCCTAAATTCAGTTATTGTGAGTGTTACTTCCTCTGAGAAGCCCTCCCTCATTACTGGAGGACTTCACACAGTTACTTAACCCTTGGAATTAAAAAATAGAAACACCAGAGTTGGAAAGGGTCCAACCACTGTCTGAACGAGCCACAGTGGCTAAAGTCAGGCTGGTTAGCACTATAGTCAGAGGACTTATAACTGAATCCCAAAAAGGCAGCAGGAAGCTCATACATTTCCTGGCAGGACCAAGATGTCACTGGGTGCCTGTGGCATGGGACTGAAACCATTCAGTGCCATAACCATCTGTAAGGAGGGGCCACACCTTGGCCCTTCACCCTTGGAAAACTCCCATCCACTCTTCAAGCCCAACTCGAAAGTCACCAGCTCACAAGCCTGGGGGCTCCCTAAAGGCAAGAATCACCCAATTTCCAGAGCCCTCCAGGGGTGCAACATGCTGGCTGAACTGCATTTTCCCAAGAGGCAGCCATCCTGAGGCCTCACCGTCCAGCCAGGACCTACTCCCATCTCACATTCAACTCAACCCGCTCCTCTCTGATTCTAGTTAAGGGTTAATCAGCTCAGCTTCTGGGAATGGAAGTCCCAGAGCTCGCAGCCACAGCTGGAAGCGAGAGCTAGCTTCCTTCTGAGAGGCCGGTCCTAGGGAAGAAAGCACCAGACCCTTCAAGTGTGCAAGTTCAGGCTTAACCAGCCTCTGCCCCACTCCCTTTCTCTCCACTAGACAACTCAGTTTAACTGAGAAATGAATCCATCCGTGGCTACTGCCTTTAAAACTTTTTTTTTTTAATTTAAAATCCCTAAACAAGCTGACTGATCCATGCCAATTAAACTTCACAAAGTATAAAATCTCATTTGAATGTTTCCATCATTTACATTTTTGATGGAAGTATGGGCACTTTATGGCAAAACTTAAATATGGTAATTAAGTAGGACACTCCTCACAGCTGTTTACAATTTAAGCTGTCACATCTGAATCAAGTTTAATAGACCCAGTTACCATTAAAAATTGCCCATGAACTAAAAATATGGACTAATTACAAGCCCCAGTCAGATCACTATACACCCAAGCAAGGGCTGGTCACCCAATGTGGCAGGGAGATGGAAACACCATTGTTTTTGCCTCCAGGAAATCGGGGAGCATAAGCCTCATAGAGTTTTTGCAAAATCTGCTTGTTCATTTGCCTATACTCCTCCTTTTTCGCCCTCAAGTCCCGAGCTGCAAGTTACACCAAATATGACCCAAGATTCGGAGGTGTACGGGCAGCTGCAAGCCCAGGCTGGGCAGGGACTGCAAGGGGGTTGGGCCCCGCTTTCTTGGGCGGCTCAGGAATTTGGGCAGCATCAGAAGAAAAGACTGCCCCAGCCTGCCCAGTGGAGGGTAGAAGAGAGGGGGAAGGGAGAGAGAGTTTTCCTTGATTCCACAGGACAGATGCCTATCCCTCTGAATGCCTCTGGCCTGTGGGTCTATCTTATTATCATGTCCGTGTCTTGTTCCCAGTAACTAGGCTATTAGTGCCTCAAAGGGGCCAGGCCTAGCTCAGGGCTGCAGATTCAGACCCTGGGATCCCAGATTCTAGCCCAGTACTCAGACCAAGTCAAACCACATGTCCCTTATAGCGCTGCTGCCCCAGAAGCATAAATCTTTGCACAAAAGGATTACCCAAGAGATGCCAATGGCTGTATGAGGGAGAACAGCTCTGCCCACCCTGCCCGGGGCAGGGTCGAGGGTATCATTTTGCTCACTACCAGCACACCTGCACTGCAACCTCAACTTCCTGTCAGCGCAGCAACTCCACTTTCACTTCAGAGCCCGGAGGCTCAGATGCTTGCTGAGGCGTCCCAGCTGGGCAGATGGAAACATTTCTTTGTAGAGAAACTCATCCTGGCTGTACCCAACAGGCCACTGGGGAAGGGAGGTCTGGTGGTTGTTCCGCCCGAGTTGAGCTGAACTGGTGGGCAACCCAGAAAGGAACCCCTCGCCCGCCACCCTGGATGGGTCACAGGCATCTTGCTCATTCAGGCATCCAGGTAAGAAAGGGTGGGGATGGAGAGACTGTGGGGCCCAGGCCAAAAGGAGTGAGGACTATGTCAACATTCAGTCAAGGCTCCCCTGCAGGATGACTCTACCTTGCCACCCTCCCAGGCTCCAGTGACACCGAGTCTTCAATGACCATTCACTCCACTGAGTTTTGTACCCCTGTGTCTTTTGTACCCCTGTGCTGGAGGGCACTCACCCCCCGCCACCCCTATCTCCTTTCTCTGCCTGGCCAGCTGTGTCATCTTCAGCAAGAAAGCTGACTTCTATGAGTCTGTGTTCTCATTAAAAATAAAAATAAGCCCTGGCCGGTTTGGCTCAGCAGTTAGAGCGTCAGCCTGCAGTCCCGAGAGACCCGGGTTCGGTTCCCGCTAAGGGCATGTACCTCGGTTGCAGTTTATCCCCAGCCCTGGTTGGTCGTGCGGGTGGCAGCCACTTGATGTGTCCCTTTCACGTCGATGTTTCTCTCTCTCTCTCTCCCTCCCGCTCTATCTGAACAAAAAAATGGAAGAATGTCCTCAGGTGAGGATAAAAACATACATACATACATACACACATACATACATACATACATAAAAATAAAGCCCGGCCAGTGTGGCTCAGTGGTTGAGCGTTGACCCATGCACCGAGAGGTTACTGGTTCCATTCCCAGCCAGCATACACGCCCAGGTTGTGGGCCTGATCCACAGTGGCATGCAGGAGGCGGCCAATTGATGTTCTCTCTCATCGATGTTTCTCTCTCTCTTTCCCTCTCCCTTCTTCTCTCTCTAAAAAATCAATAAAGAAAACAAAGTTTTAAATAAAAACAGTAACAATGAAGATAGTAACTGCTCCCATTTCACAGCGCTGTTGTATTAAAGACGACACCTTAAGGCCTACTACTGACACAAGCACACACCAGAAAATGGCCATTTCTCTCCCCGCTCTGGCCACAGGATGCCGGGTCCTCCTAGGGCTCTCGCTTTTGTCTTTCACCCTGGGCCCCTCTGATCACCAATCTCAAAGAACTAATCCCTACAAGGCCCTGCACCCCCAGATCATACTATTAAAAGGAGACCCCCAAAACCTCAAACCCCAAAATCATGTTACAGAGAGGAAGGCACCCAGGTACTCACTGGGGACATGGGCTTGTCACTGCTCACAGCCCACTCCTGCCAGGTGTCTTGGCGCCCTTGGCTCTCACCACCCACTTGGGGTTCCCAGGGATTTCATACTTTGAGTGATGTGTCACCTTGGTCTTGCCTCCCCACCAGACAGGGCCACCACGGCCAGGCTGCCAAGGCAAGCAGAGCCCGCCCAAGCCCAGCCTCTACCCACTGACCATTTTCCGCTTGGTGCAGAGGAAGGCGTGGCACTCGAGATTCTCACTGTGCTGGCTCTGGGCGATGTAGGCAAACACTTTGCCATGCATCTTGTCTGCCGTGCAGTAGGAGATCCTGAAAGGCAAGTGGGAAATGTCACCAGACCCCTGCACAGAGGCTTGACAACATCCAGGACAGCCATAGGGCACCTCCAGAGTCTGTTCTCCCACTCTACCAGTGCGAGACTACAGACAGACAGCCTTGGCCTCTGGGCCTGGCATCCTAGGCCATCCATGGGGGAAGGGACACCCAAGATAAGAAGGACTGGTGGAAAGACTGGAGAAAGGGCACTTTCCCCCCTCTACTGAGCCATACCCCAAAATTGTAACAGCTGAGCCCTTCTTGTATACCAAGCAACACTCAGATACCACCTCATTTAATGCACAACTGCCCTCTGAGATGGGTTCTATTATTATTCCCACTTTTCAGATGAGAAAACCGAAGCTAGCAGTCTCAGACCACCAAGCTAGTGGCAGAGCTGAGACCTGACCTCACCTATTGATTCCAGAGACTGTAACCACTGCCATGCTGCCTCTCACAGGTTTGTGCCAAGCAGCTGGGAGGGGAAGTGGGCCACTGCGCACCCACCGAGGCCCTTTACCTGCCCCTCTCACCTGCCCTCTGGTCATGCCCCTGACCAGAGGTCAGAGAGGTTCCAGGACTGTCCCTCCCAGGGTGACTGAGACTGCTAGCAGATTGTTCTGGAGCTTGAATGGAGTGGAAGGGCTGGGAGCAGGGTGAGGACGTGTGGAGATAACCAGACCCAGACCCCAGGGGACCCAGGAGCTCCCTCCTCTTAGAACACTTGCCTCCCGCGCCTGCCCCTCCATGCTGGCTCCAGTCATCCTGAGAATCTCAATCAGCAGAGGAACTGGCAGCCCAGAATGGGGACAGGAGCTCAGCAGACTCCCATACCCAGTGTGGCCCCAGCTTCAATCATAGGCGCTGACAAAGGGATTAGTACAATTCAAGACCCCCAGGTGGGCAGAAGGAAGAGTATCAGGTCCCCAACTACCTCTTCTCCATTCAGGGGATCCAGCCTCCTGCCATTTCCCCTGGGAGGCCTTCCCAGGTTTCCCCAGGCAGGCCCCTCCTTCTCTGCCCTGTTGGGAAACACTGATACTCTATCTCCTATTTCTTCCCCTTCATTCCCTCCTAGACTGGAAGCTCCTTAAGGACAGGGCTGGGTCTGATGCCTCACCTGGTTAAAGAAAGCAGATAGAATCAAGAAGGTGAAAAATACCAGCCCAAAACTCTAAAACCAGCCCACCTCCACCGCAGTACTGGCCTATGCTCCAGCCAGTGAAGCCACCTGCTTAGAGACAAAGCAATATGGTAGAGGGATCCCTAGCAGACCAGGGCCTGCTGGACAGAACTCTGGCCTTGGTGTCCTGGTCCCAGCTTAGCCACTACCTCATTATGAGGCCTTGGTGGACCCGAGGCCTCTCTGGACTTCGGATTCTCCATTTGTAATATGGATCTCTGTGGTTCCTTCCAACTCTGCAATCTTACAACTGACTAGCCAAGAGAGAATAGGGAGAACCTGAGGCTCCAAGGGCTCTGCCTGCCTCTTGATGAACAGTACACCCTACTCCCCGAACTGATACCATCTAAACTCTGGCTTCAGACTTTGCCTTCAGATATCACCTCACTTAGTTCAGTGGCTTTCCTGGACACCTGGCCAGATGTCCAAAGCACAGCTGCTGCATTCACAGTGGAAGGAAAGGATCGTGACTCTGCAGCTCTCTGCTCCAAGCCTGACTCAGCAGCATGCTTGGGGCGGGGGGAGAGGAGGCGCTGTTTCCAGTCCTGATCAGGACTCAGCTGCCTACTGCAGCTAGTGACTATGACAGCAGCAACTGCCATTTATCCAAGCGCCCACTGTGGGCCAGGTGCTGTGCACTCGGCGCTTTATAACAGCACTGGGAGGCAGGATCTGTTTCCACCCCAATTCATAGACGAGGAAACTGAGGTTTCCAGGTCATTCACACAGGGAGTGGTAGAGCCAGGCTTTAGGCAGGGCACTCCACCCACTGCCCCAGTTGGCAGAGTGAATGTGGGCGATGGGTGAGCATACCTGTAAATGGACACGTTCTCAATGAGCTGATTGGTGATGCCGTCGGTCAGGATAATCCCCCGTGGTGACACCTTGAGAGTCACCTTCTGCAGCTTCTTCCCGCTGGCCTTGGCCTTAGGGTAGACATGGGTCAAAGGAGACTGCCTACCTGACCTGGGAACTGCCCTCATGGCTCCATTTAGTGCTTCAGGCCCCAGACAGTTTACTCAGAGCTGGGGAGGGGGAAATCTGGCCTCTGGTCTGCTAACCTGCCCCTCAAGCCACAGGTTAAGTGACTGGGTAAGGGTAACCTCCCCCATCCTTTCCTAGCACTAAGTCACCAACCATGAGGCAGGGGGCCTGAGTTGGGGGAGGGGAGGCTGGGAGAGGACATGCCCACAATTGCTAGACAGGACATTGACCCTCACCCCGCAAGCCCAATTGCTACCTTTAACCAGAGTTTCTGAGGCAGATGCAAAGGGACTCAAGGGCAGGGACAGGTCAGACACATCTAACTGGGGTCATAAGCAGGGGACAAGCAATACCCCGGAAAGAAGCTGTCCCTGGCCTCTGGCTCCCCGCCGCTGGGGCTCACCGTGGCCACGATCCTCTTGATGGCGGCCGCTGACATCTCCTCGCCTTTGGGCTGCTCCACCAGCGTCATGCCCAGGTACTTGAGGCTGAAGAGCATCCCCTCAAGCAGTGTCTCCCGAGTGTCTGTCCAGTTCTCAGGCAGCTCTGGGCAGGAGGAGGACAGGCACTCAGACCCTGCGGGGCAGTCCCACCACCGCAACAGCTCTCTCAGGCCCTATTTTCCAGGGAGACCCAGCAGGGGGCTGTGGGGTCCCGCCATCTACATTATTCTTACAGTTAATCAAGGCTACACTAACATTTTCCAGTGTGTACCAAGCACTGTGGTAAGAAGCTTTACATAAAATATTCTCATTAATCCTCATGAGAACCTAGAAGGTAAATACTTTATCATACCCATTTACAAAGACACTGAGGCCCAGGGAGCCAAAATCACAGAACCAAGTCCAAAGCGCCAGCAAGTACAAGAGCCAAGATTTGAACCGATACTTTCAAGTCCAAAGCCCAAACTTACCTTCAAGGCTAACACCATACCATCTTCTCACTGAATCTTTAATGCAATCCTGTAAGGTGGATACTATCCCCACTTCAGAGACTAGGAAACTGAGGCTCAGAGAGGCAGTCACAAGACAAAGGCCCCATACAATGAATAAAGGGATGGGGTTAGAGTTAGAACCTGGGTGGTTTCCACAGCCCCAGCCTGCTCTGCTTTCCTCCATCTGCACAGCCACAGAGGCCAGGAGGTAGGGAGGAGGGGACCAGGAAAGAGACAACAGGCCAAGGACAGTATGGGTAGCGAAGGGTGAGGGTCTGGGAAAGGGGGAGGAAACTGCTCCAGTGACATCATGTGAGGCTGCCTGCATCTGGCAGACCAGCTGTTTCCCACCACCTGCCTGTGTCAGGGAACTCCCCTCTCCTCTTGAGACGAAGAATACCTGGGCTGCAGCACTGACCCTCAGCAGGGCGCATGGGAAGGGTCCTTGGAAAACTCTGACCATGACTGAGGTCTGAAAGGTTGGGAAACAAGGGATGAGCCTGGCTCCCTGGGTGGGAAACAGACCAGGAGGGAGAGCTGGAAAGAGACTCCACCTCGCCCCACCACGTGAGAGGACTCTGAGCAGGCACAGGGACAGGACGGGCTCTAACCTTGTCCAGTGTTCCTCCTCAGGAGCTGAGGCCCAGAGGCACCAGATCACTTAGCTGGGAAGCAGAGAGGCCAGAAGAAGAAGGAAGCCTCCAGGGATCCTTCCAAGCCCGTCACCAGGACGAATGAACACCCCATGCTCCTGCCTGTTAGGGTCCTTTGTCCATCCCTCATCATTCTTTCTCAGATGCTACATTGTAGGAGGTATTATGATTGTGCCCAATTTATAGATGAGGAAACTACTCTTCGGCCTCACACGCAATCTTGGATAGAGTGGGATTCAGACAGGAATCAGTTTCCAGGGGCCACCACAGAGATAGCCAAGGTTAGCTTCCCTACACCATTTCCTGTGAGGGGAGCTGGGAGAAGTCCTGTGTCCTCTCTGCCTCCTCCGGGGACCCTCACTGGTTCTGATGGAAGAGCCACAGGAAGAAAGTTTAGGACCAGGCATCACAGGTTCCAGGGTAGCCGAGGCCCTGGCAGGGCCTGTGCTGCCCCCTCCTAGCAACTATCCCAGAGCTCTGGTCCTCCAGTGGCTCTGTCTCCTCTCCAGCTGGGAGCATGTACACCCACATCTCTCTGGACTTGATGTGAGCAAGCCACTGCCCCTCTCTGAGACACTTCCTCATCTGAGAAAGAACACATGTGTGTCTGCGGAGGGAGGGGGAGACAGGTGGAATATAAGAACTTACAAGTGTGTCCAGTCCCCCTGTGGCCTGGTCATCCAAAGCCTGGCATGCAGTTGGCACTCAATACTTGCTGAGTGAAGAAAGGCTTCCTTCAGGCCTGCAATGCCTCCAGTGCCATCCTCAGCTCTGGCCCCTGGCCTGCTGCTCTCCAGCCCTCGCCCTTGGGCCTCTTCCCTAGTGTGAGGCCTAGTCCTTATTGAGAAGACCTCAAAGTGACCCTATTCTTTGTCCCACCAACCAAGAGCCCATTTTATTTGATCCTCCAAAAAACATCAGAAAGTCCCTGAGGTGTCCCAGTCCTGGGCTGGGTGATAGGAGCCCAGGAGCAACTCAGATATGGGCCTTCCTCTTAAAATAACCAAGAATACCACCACCATCATCAGGACAAAACAGGGCTGTCAAGTAACAGATTACAATGATTGCAAAGCAACAGCTCTCACCATGACCTCTGACACTATGGCTGCCTTGCAAGCAGGTATTTTTTTATTCCCATTTAACAGATGAGGAAACTAAGATTCAAAGGATCAGTAACATGTCAAATCAGCTGTCTATCTGACTCTAAAGCCCCAAAACTATCCATTAGGCAATACTATCTTTCCATGAGGCAAACTACCTTAATGTTAACAAAAGGTCAGGGAAGTTCCTAGAGCCAGAGGTATTTCCTCCACAGTTCATAATTCCTGAGGCTTTCCTTCTGTTGGTAGATAACCAGATCACCACTTTCTTTCCTTCTCTTTTAAAATCCTCACCCAAGCATATTTTTAATGATTTTTTTTTGTTTGTTTTGTTTTGAGAGAGAGAGAAACAGTGATCAGTTGACTTCTGGACATGCCCCGACCCAGGCCAGGGATTGAACTTGCAACCTGGGCATGTGCCCCAACTGGGAATTGAACCCTTGACCTTTCAGTGTACAGGACGATGCTCTAACCAACTAAGCCACACTGGCAACAGCGAGACCATCACTTACAGCCAGATATCCATCTAAGAAGGGCTGGCAAAGTATGTACTTCCATGCCTGTCTCCTGTGTCCTTGGCAGACATTGCTAATCAATTATAGCTTTATTCCCTCTGACTTACAGGCTTTGGACTGTTTCTCAATACAAGGCTCCAGGCAGGCAATAACCAATTGCTCAGGGGTGGCCTTGCTCATCTCATTACCCATCACTGCCCTATGGCAAACATCTGCCCACCACGGTTTTCAGTCCCCACTCTTCCATTTCCTCCAGCTCAGCCCTTTCCTGGTCCGTCTCCAAAGCCACTTCCGCTCCCTCCATTCCAAAGGGCCAAAGCTTGCCAAGGTCACAGACGACCTCTTTGCTGTCAAAACATTCCCCAGCCCCCCTGACCTCTGAAATGCTTGACATTTTCTGCATTCCTCCTTCCCTGGCCTGGCCCTTCCCCTATTCTAGGGCCTCCTGGAAGGGCCCTAGTAGACTGGTCGCCACTCATCAGCCTTGGAGACCTTCTGCCCAAACTCTTCCCTTGACAGATGAGGAACCTGAAGCCCAGAGAATGGGAGCTGTGCAAGGCCACACAAGTAAAATGACCCCTAGGTCCCAATCCACAACAGGCAATTCCTATGACTGTTGGGGAGTTACAGGTTCCCCATCTCCTCTCCCACAGGATCCCTGCACGCACGCACATGCACACGGCACGCGCGCACACACACACATGCAGAGCTTTTCTCCTCATGATGTCCCATTTACTTTCCCACTTGTGCCTTTGCTCAAGTGGTTCCCTCTACCATAATGCCCTTCCCCTCCCCTAACTGAAACCCCACCCCATGTCCAGCCTTCTCCAGGAAGCCTTCTTTGAGGCAGTGTTGCATAGTTGTTAAGAGCAAGGGACTTAATCCTACAATCCCAGTTCTGACACTGGGGAGACTTAATTATGTTCCTTGGGCCTCAGTTTTCTCATCTATAAAATGGGGGAAACAACAGTCCCTAGCTTATAGGGCTGTTTTGACCTTTGATGAGAAAATAAAATGTGTTGTGCTCAGCAGAAGGCCCTGCCCACAGTTATGCCTCCCACCAGGCCTCATCCCTCCTGTGAGTGGGTTGCTCCTGCCTCTCTTGAGTGTGGACTTCCTTTTCTTCCTCCCACAGTCAAGCCGCTGCCTACCATGTGTCTTCCTCTTGAAGGACTTCCATTCTTGTCTGCCTCCCCCAGAAACTGGTATGGAAAAGGTGCATTCCTAGCCAATGTTGGTTCTGCCTGTCCTATTTCTCCCTTGCCCACCTCCCATGCACCACCCGCCCAGGATGCAAGATTCTCCTTCCCCTCTAGGGAAGCCAGCCTCTGCTTCTGTACTTCTGGGCACAACTCATCTCTTTAATGAGGCGTATGGTCTCTCAGGCTCCACACTCTCTCCAAGAAACCAGTACTCGGGAGCTCTCCGTGTACAGAGACAGGATTCACTACCACGCCCGTCCTGCCCGCCGTCCAGCCACCTCACATCAGCTGGAGGAGCCTGGGCTTCAGGAAGAGCTCCCAGAGGGCCCCAGACAAAATACAGGCCTTGCTCCACAGTCTTCTTCCGGTCCAGGTTATTTTTGGCTCTGTGGTGGGTAATGACTAGGCTATTTTAACTTTGCAATTTTACAGATGACCTGCTATCAGAGTTAGCTGGGGACAGACCATATACCAGTTTAACTTGCGGCTGTAAACACGTGCTCTATCCTTATTAAGGACCCCTGCCCAGGAGTCAGAGCTGGGCAGGGTGTCCCTATGCCCCTTCTGCTGTCCCAGGTGACCTGACCTGGCTGGTGTCAGGAATATCAGAGTTGCAGTCAAACCCATGGGCCAGGCGGAACCTCCAACTGGGGCACTGGCCTCCAGCCTCCCCCAGCCTGGAGGGGAGATGGCCTCAGAACCCTCAGAGTGACATCTCTGAAGGGGACTCAAGCTCTGCTGTGACCTGGAGTATGGCTGCTTTTCTAGGCCATGGTCTCCTTATCTGACAAATGGGTTCAGTCTCTCAGAAGTATCATCAGAAAAAAGTTCAGAAGGTGAAAAGTGCTAGACAAATTTCAGTTGTTAAGATCATGCCCTGGCCGGGTAGCGCAGTTGGTTAGAGCGTCACCCTGATACGCCAAGGTTGTGGGTTTGATCCCTGGTCAGGGCACATATAAGAATCAACCAATGAATGCATAAATAAGGGGAACAACAAATCGATATTTCTCACTCTCTCTCCCATTCCCTCTCTCTAAAATCAGTAAATTTTTTAAAAAGTTGTTAATATTATCAAGAGAGAATTTTAAAATGATAATAGCAGCTACCATTTCTTAAGTACCTACTTACACTATAATATGCTGTCAAGGTTAACACAATGGGGTCTGGAGATGGGCTGTGGGGTTCACAGTGCCTCCTCCTACCTGGTCTTCAGTTTCCTCGCTTGATGAGATAATAACATTATCCATCCCTGGGGCTGTGGTGAGGATGAAATGAGCTCACACATGAGATGGGCTTAGAACCATGTCTGGTACATACCAAGTGTCACTGAAGTATGAGCTATTGTCATTTCCAAGGGCCAAGTGCAAAGAGCTTTAATGTATACATAGCCATTTGCAGTATTTTATGAAAAGCGTCAAGGAGATGCTGGATTCCCATTTCACAGTAAAGAAGCCATGGTTCATAACTGGCAGTGCTGGGTCTTGAATCCCACAGTCGTGCTCTTTCCCCCTCCTGCCACCCCCTGCGCCCTTTCCCACGCAAGGAGGGAGGCCGACTCAGGCTCACCGCGAGAGGCGGGCATGCTGCCCTGCAGGACTGCCCGGCTCACCCCCAGTGGGCAGTAGATGACCTGACTCCTTCAAGCCACACACCTCTCTGCTAACAGACCTATGAGAAGCAGAATCTCAACCTCCAGTTAAATGTTCTTTGTACTTGCTGTTCCCTCTGGTTGGAATGCTGTTCCCAGATTCCTCACTCCCTATATTCATACATGTCTTCCAAAGTCACCTTCTCCAAGAGGCCTTCCCTGACTTCCTTCACTGACACTGTCAGAGCCCCACCTTTGTCCCCTCATTGGGCACCATTTCCACACACACCACCTGACACACCACGCTCTGCCTGCAGCTCTCTTTGGCTACTGGAGATGCCAGTGCCCATGCAGACTGGGGCATGAGCACTCCCATTCCCAGCAGCATGGCACCCACCCCTGACAGAACTGCCCTTCAAAGAGTGTAACTGCAGCCCTGGTCAGTTTGGCTCAGCGGTTGGAGTGTCGGCCTGCGGTCCAGAGAGACCCGGGTTCGGTTCCCGCTAAGGGCACGTGCCTTGGTTGCAGTTTGTCCCCGGCCCTGGTTGGTCATGCGGGTGGCAGCCACTCGATGTGTCCCTTTCACATCGATGTTTCTCTCTCTCTCTCTTCCTCTTTCTCCCTCCCACTCTATCTGAATAAAAAATGGAAAAATATCCTTGGGTGAGGATAAAAAACAAAACAAAACAGTGTAACCGCAGAGTACATTCTACACCCTCTCCCCGAGCTCGCCACAGGATGGCGCTCCAGTCTCCCACAGTGGTAAGTGCATTCACAGTGTTCACTTTTTTGATTCCCTCCCTACTCATTTCTCCTAACAGTATTTCCTGGGACCTCTTCCCAAATAAATGACTTGTACTCACATCTTTTTAAAAAATCTTTTTATTTATTGATTGATTTGAGAGAGAGAGAGAAAGGAAAAGAGAGGAAGAGAGGGAAGGAAGAGGGAGAGAGAGGGAAGGAGGGAACCATCTGCTTCTAGTAGAACCCAAATGAAGACACCACCCTATGTAAGGAAGCAGTCCCCGTCATTTTTTCACCCCGCTTTATCTTTTTCTTAGCATCACCACTAACCACAACATACTACTCATTTGCACCCTGGGAGCCTGCCTCCTCCACTGGGCGGTACACACTATCAGAAGGGAGAACAACCCAGTCACCAGACTCCTTGACACTTCTATGGTGTCTGGCACATAGTCGGTGCTCAATAAATATTATGGTTTGAGTGTTTACTTATATCTTGTAAATATTAAAAATAAGTATGAATAGATCTTCTGCCTGGCCTTCCACCTGAACCTGCGCCTCATATTTCTCTAGCTGTTCTCACCAAGTTCTCTGATAGGCTGGCACAACCCACAAAGGGGCCCAAGGGTCAGAGGGACCCTCTTGGGAAAAAGGGTACTGAGGGACCAGGGTGAGTCAGCATTCCAGACAGCTAGAAGAAAGGAAAATCCCTGCCAGGGACTGAGATAAAAATATTATGGTTCCTGAAGAGATGGGGGGAAAAGCCACATGTGGGAGAGGGAGAGAATCCCCTTCGAAGCCAGGACAAACTGGGAGACAGAGGGCCATGGGGTTCAGTACAAAGAAGCCTGGGGTTCTGGCTTTGCAGTGTGACCTCAGGCAACCTGCCTCTCTTCTCTGAGTTTCAGTTTCTCCACAAATAAAACAATGACCAAGCTAATCCCCGTTGAGAATCTTGAAGGGTGAGAAGCAGGTCACAGCTGATAGCAGGTGTCAAGTCTGTCCCAAAACAACCCAGCTCAAGGTCTGAGCCAAACGCCTGGCTAGGACACCACCTCAGGCCAGGCTGCTCCCACATCCCATCCCAGACACACCCCACAGCTTCCCTCTCTGTCTTGTAGCCACTGTCCTCAGGGGCTGCCAGCCCGACCTGGGATGGGGCCTGCACGGGCTCCTCCCATGGCCAGAGTCCATGAGGCAGTGTTAAGACATCTGGGCTGGGGATTTGGAGCATGGCCTCTCAGAAGCTGTGTCAGAAGCTCTGTGTTGGGGTCAGTGACTCTACTTGACTGAGCCTCAGTTCCTTTATCTCTAAAATGAGTCTGATAAGAATCCTTGCTGTCACCTCACAGGAGCAAATTAAATAATGGAAACAAACACACTGCAAAACACTAAATGACAAAAGCAGTAGTTACCATTTATTGAACTCTTTCTCTATCCCAGGCAAAATGCGATTTCATTTAACTCCTACACAAAAAAATCTGAGGTGGGTACTACCATTATTATTCATAATTTACATATGAGGAAATTGAGACTTAATAATGAGGCACAGGTGGGATTCAGCCCAGAACATTCTTGGTCCAGAAAACTCCAGGAAAGCATTCTGGGCTTATTGGGGGTCTGTAGGAGAGTGGAGCTCTCCTCTCCTTTCTTCTGCAGGTACAGGCTGGCTCTGAGACCCCCAAAACTTGTCCCACCACAGTAAGTCATGTGGAACATATACATAACAGGGGAGGGAAGGGAAGTGGGGGAGGAGGAAACCATCAATTAGGTGCCAGAGGAAGCATGATTATCAATAACTTTCTCAATACTTCTGCTAGGTTAGAACTTTTATCCCCATTTTACAGATGAAGAAACTGAGGATCAAAAAGGACAAGTGACTTGTCCAAGATCAGAGCAGGCAGGAGAAACTCTTGTCTACCATCCAAGATTTCCAGTTCCCCAGATTCAGAGGGGCTTCTAAGTTCCCTGCCCTTGCCCAGTGAGCTGCCCCTGCCCCCCCATCCCAGGAGAAAACAGCAGGGTTTCCCCACTGGAATAGTTCATTCTTCTCAAAAGTCCTGGTCAAATCCCACAAATACTTAAAGGGGCTATTTTGGGAGTCATAAGTGTGGGAGATGGTACACGCCTGGCCCTAATGGGTCTCTGACCCCACCCCCACCCCCAGGCAACAGGCCATGTTCCCAATGCCAGTCTCTGTTTAGGAGGCAGCCACAGCTGGAACAGCAGAGTTCAAGAGGAGGGGCAGGGCGGGCTCTCTTGGCCCAGACACGCTGGCACTCCTGAGCTGAGGGAACTCAGGCTCCCCTGGCTGAGCCCTGGAACGCAAAGGGAAGGGGGGTGGAGGGGTGACTGCACAGAAAGCTTTCCTGGTGGGGGAGAGGCCAAGGTAGTTGGCAGGGGGGTGGGAGTGTGTAGGAGTCCTGGCTTTGGCTCCATGTATCAGGAAGGCCTATGTGACTCCAGGCACCCCGTTTGTCCTCGAGAAGTTGCAGGGCCTTAGGTTGGGTTTCTCGGGCCTCAGGGGAAGGTGCCAGGTGACGGGTTCCTAGAGTAACTCGAGACGCGGAAAGGAGGTAGGCCGGATGAGGCCCCTCCCAACCTCCTAGACGCCCTGGGGAGGGGTGGTGGCGAGTCTGTTACTCGCCTGGGCGCCTAGGGACCTTGGAAGCCAGAGGGGTAAGGTGCGAGAGAGAAAAGGTTTCAAAAATAGCCAGAACTCCAGCCTCGACCCCTGGACTAGACTGCAGGAAGGAGCGGAGGGGTCTAAATGGCCGCATGTGTGGTACCTCCTGAGACCCTAAGCTGACCTTGGCCCAACTTCAAGTCGGTACCTGCGAAACCAGGCTCATACCTGGGGCAGTTTATGGGCGCCGGAGAGTCAAAAGATGACCTCCTGGGTTGGACAGGTGAAGGGGGCACGTAGGCTCCCGCCGGCCGCTGACGTCGAAGCTGGGGCGCACGGGTGAGGGGCTGGGGGCATGTCCCAAGCCGCTGTGCCCACTCCCCCTGCCCTGGGCACCGACGCTGAGCCCTGCTCCCCTAGCTGTGCAGGGCGGCGAGGTGGGGAGGGGCCGGGGGTCGCGCAGGTCTCTTCTCCAAACCTGTAACCCCTTTCCCACTGCCGCTCCGGTCTCTTCCCCCAGCTTCGGTCCCTCCTGCCCAGCTGCACCGAGCGGGCACGGGAGGGAGGCACAACTTGACCCCGGGCGACCCCTAACCCTGCAGGACCCGGGTCAGGCCCCGCCTCTCCCACCGGGCGCCCGCGAGAGGCCGATCCGAGCAGCCTGACCCCCGCCCGGTCCCCGCCCGGTCCCGCCGGACGCGCACATACTCACTCCGGTGCCGACCGCCGCCCCCCCAGCTCTGCTTGGCGAGGCTGGGGCTTCGGATCAGAGCCCTCCCGGCGGACTTCAGCGCGTCCATGACCGCTCCGGCCGCCGCCGCCGCCGCCGCCGCCGCCGCCGCCGCCAAAACTCCGTCAGGGAAAACTTTCCGCCGGGGTCGGATGGCGCGTGTTCTCCGCGCTCCTCCCCTCCCAGCGCGAGCTCCGCACCGACGTCCGACGGGGCGGGGCGAGGGCTGGCCAGATCCCGCCCACGGCCCCGCCCCCACAGCCAGGCCCCGCCCCGCCCCGCGCTGGCCGCTGCCCTTGCTCCCCGAGGCTATCCAGACAAAGGGCGCTCTTAAGGCCCTAGAAGGCCCCCTATTTCCTCCCTCTCTCCGGTCCCCCTACTACTCATCCTATTGGAGTCTGAAGGTTCGCGCGGGCCTAGGATTTAGAGGCAGTGCATCGTTAGGGTACCTGGAGACCATTTTATACCATTTTATAAACGGGGAGACTGAAGGCTGGAGAAAAGGGTCAAGTTCAAGAGGAGGGAGGTGGCCAGGGCAGTGGGAGGCTTAGAAGCAGAGGTGGAGGTTGTAGAGCTTTGCTGGGAACGGGCAGGAGTATAAAAGCTTGCCTTACCAAGACCCGTTGCACTTTACTCACGCAGTAACACCCAGGCTATTCCCTGGTATCACCTGGGCACGCGGGGCTGCCCTATGCCCACCTCACTCCACAAGTAGCCTGCAGGTGGTATGGCCTGCATGTTACGCTCTGAGGTATAGGGAAAGAAGCCTTAGCTCTGGCTCTGACTTGCTGTGTGGCCTCAGGCAAGTCCTTTCCCTGTCTGGGTCTTAATCTTTATCTGTAAAATGAGATGGGATCCTGTCTCTAGAGATTCTTCACATCAGCCAGGGCCAGATGCTGCATGCCATAGACCCAGGTCCTGCCCTGCTTGCTAGGAGGCACTTGGGGGGGAGTATGGATGCTAGAATTCCTCAAGAACAGATGTTCTAACTTCAGGATTTAGAATTCTCTCTAGGATCCTGTGCCATCCCATCAGGCTTTGCCAAAGGGAGTCAAAAGGAGAGCATATGTACTCTGGTTGCTTCTAAATGGAGTGCCTCAGCAAGGCAAACTTCAACCTCTGGGGTTGCCCCTGGCTCAGAGGGCAGGAGTCCTGTTTCTGTGTCTGGGGAAAACTGGGCTGTGCTATTTCCAGCTGGATAGGAGGCCTTACTGACATTTCCTCTCTCTGTTTGTAAATTAAGTGCTTTTCCAGCTATTCTGCTCTGTGCTCTTCCAACAACACTGCAGCCAGCAATAGACCCATTTTATGGATAAGAGCCTGAGCCCAGGAGAGAAGCGCTCACTGAGGGTCTCTTTGAGTCAGAGGCTTGGATCAAACTCAAACCCAGGCCCAGAGGCCAGAGTAGAGCGTCAGGGGTTTGAACCCAACATTCCTTGTTTTGGTGATTGTCAATTCACTTTTCTGAGCCTCATCTGTAAAAGGGGAAACAATACTTATTTCCCAGGGCTGTCTGTAAGGATTCAATAACATGAGTTGGAAAGGCTGAATCCTGTCTTTGAGAACTCACCTATAAAGTTGCCTCCTCTAGCAAGCCTTCCCTGACTATCACCCATTGGTTAGGCTTCTCCCTGTGGACTCTACAAGCCTGAGCTTTTGGCATTGCAAGTGTTGCTGCTGTCTGCTTCTACTCTTCTCACCCCGACTAGACTTTGTGTCCTTCAAGGGCACTTACGTTCTTCTGATTCATTTCTGAATCCCAAATGCCTAGCACAAGGTCCAAGTGGAATTGGAATAAAGTAAATGTTTCTTTCCTTCCTCCCTTCTTCCCTCCCTCTCTCCCCCCAGTTTTTCACCACACCAGGCTGTCTTCTCCCACAAAGGGCTGTGGCGATGGGTAGGTAGGTCCTTAGGGCTAAGCCCTCCCAGCTCTCTTACCCCAAGCCAGCTGGGTCCTGGGGCAGTAGAGAGAACATTCTGGAGCCTAATGGAAAAGCAATCAGCCTTGGCCAGTTTGGCTCAGCGGTTAAAGCATCGGCCCGCAAACCAGAGTCCTGGGTTCGGTTCCCACTAAGGGCACGTACCTCGGTTGCAGTTTGTCCCCGGCCCCGGTTGGGGTTGTGTGGGTGGCAACCACTTGATGTGTCTTTCTCTCTCTTCTTCCTTCTCTCCCTCCCGCTCTATCTGAAGAAAAAAAAGAAAAGCAATTATCCAGGGCTGCCTGGTGAAGGACAGCTGGTGGTGTCCGGCTGGCAGGGGGCACCATATGGGCCCAGTAAAGCAGGCAGGCCTGGGAATGCTGTGACTGCAATGAAGGCTATTTACAGGGCTATCACATCCTCCCGGAGGTGACTCGCTGTGATCTGTCAGCCATGCATCCCCCCTGCAGAGGGGCAGCCTGCTTGTGCCCCTGCTGCCAGTCCCAGAAACAGAAGCAGAGACAGAAGGTCAGAGCTGTGAGGGGCCTCATCAGAGGTCACCATGTCCAAACTTTCATTTCACAGGTGAGATGTGGCCCAGAGAAGGGCAAGGACTTGCCCAAGTTCACACAGCAAGTCAGGACTAGAAGCCAAGTCTCTTGCCTCCCAGCTTGAAGGCTTCTAAAAAACAGAGAGAGAGCAAAGAAATTTTGAAAATATACCAGTATTCAAGAAGAAATTTTAAGATGATTTTTCTTTTTCTTTCTTATCTGATCTTTGAGAAAACTTCTACAATGATTATCTATCATTTAGTAATCAGAAAGGAGGAAAAAAAACAATAAAGGGGAAGGCTAACTATGGGAATTATTGGCTTTTGTCTAAAGAATTGTAATCTTACCGTTTTCTCCCCGACTGGGCCCTTAAGGGACCCCAATAAGATGGTGGGTGCCAGAGAGCTAGGAGGACTCTCAGCTTCTCTCCAGCTATCGCTTGGGCTTGCAGTGGGGACCAAGAGAGCACCTAGGCTAGGATCAGGACCCCTGCTTTCCTCAAATGATCTGTCCTCCCTACTTCCCCGTGAGCCAGCTAGTCCCTTCATCTGGCTAGGCCTCAGTTTTTCCATCTGTAAAATGGGAGTTTTTACAACAGAATATGTATTCTTGCCCCTACTAGCAAAGCACAGTGGTTAAACATATAGATACTGGAGCCTGGGATCCTATCTCCCCTGCTTCTTTACTTTATGACTTTAGGCAAGTTACTTAAATCTATAGGCCTCAGTTTCCTCACCTGTACAATGGGACTTATATAAAAATGAATGAATGAATAAATGAATAAATGAATGAATGAATAAATAAATAAATAAAATGGGGATTATGCCTCATGGAAAGTGGTTGTAAGGATGAAAAGAGTTCATGTTTGGGACATCTTTAGAATTATGCCTGGCATATATTAAGTGCTATATATTCGCATACTTCAATAAAACTAAAATCACTTTCCTAATTGGATGAACAGTGAAGATGGAGTGATTATTATTACATTAATTCTTGGTTGGCCACCAAGGAAGGGAGTTCTCTTGGGATTGGAACCAGCCTGGCCCAGTCTGAGCTGTGGGTAATCCAGCCTCACCCCTGAGCACTCCACCCCTACTCCCTATTGGTAGGGTAGGTACAATCCCCTCCCCGCTTAGGCCCAGGTCTGAGACAGCCTTCTCCCAAGGAATCAGAGGTACCTGGGTATTGGTGAGCTAGAAGCCCAAGAGGTTTTCTGCTTAGACTTGGCTCTGACCCAATCTCCAGGGCCTCTCCTGCCTGCTATGTTCCACTGACCAGCAGCCCCAGCCAGTTGCCTCTGAACCCTTACCCCCTCAGACTCTCCGTGCTATTTGCTTTTCCAGAAACATCCAGCCAGATGCCTTCTCAACTCTCCCAGCCTCCCTACCTTTGCCCAGAACATCTAGTTGGCCTCACCCCAATACCCCAAGTCACAGCTACCCACACACCTCACTTCCCATCTCTCTCTTTATATATATAAACGTCAACTGGGACTCAATTTCCTTATTTGTAAAGTGGGGATAATACCTGCCTTAGAGGGTTTCATAAGGCTTCTGTGGGATAATATGTGGGAAATGCTTAGCCCAGTGCCTGACATGTGGCAAGAGCTCAGTAAATGGTAACTCTGGTTATCATTCTTTCTTTATGGTTTTTGGTGAACCTGTTTGCCTCTCCCAACAGCTAAACATGCCTGGAGACCACCATTCACCCCAGTGTTCCCTGGAGCAGCTGCCCTGTGCCTGGCACAGTACATATCCAAGCACTTAAGTTCTGTCCTCTGGTTCTCAGAGTGTGGCTAGCAAATGGATGACTCTCTGCGGGTGGAGAAGCAGCAGCACCTAAAGGGGCTGGGGGAGGTGCTCCTGAGGGGCCCCTACCTGCCCAGACTGCCATCCTGGGCAGGGACAACAGCTGTCTCCTCTTCTGCCTGGGCAACCGCAGGGAGGTCTCCGGCTGTGGAGCTGCTGAGCTAATTAAGAATGACAAAGTACCATGTAATTGCCAGCAATTGATGAGTCCCCTGCCTCTTCCTGTCTCTCTTTTCCTCGCCCTCCATTGCACTGTCTGGTGTGGAGGTTACCGCACAGACATAGAGGCAGGCAGAGCGGTGAAGCTGAGCACAGGCTGGTGTCAGGAAACCTGGAGACTGGCTGCTCTGCCACCCTCTTGCAGAGGGACCCTGGGCAAGGAAGCTTCCTCCTTACATTGGCTCCATTTCCCTGTCTTCAGGGCAAGGCTAAGGGGCTCTGCCGGGGCACTGGGCTGCACCTGCCAGATGGATTGGGTGTAACAAGGTAGACAGCTGCAGGTTTGAATCAGCCCTGCCACCACCAGCTGTGTGATCTTGGGCAGGCCATTCACCTTCTCTGAGCAACAGATTCCTCATTTCCAAGATGGGATTCATTTGAGAGCATTTAGTTCTCACTAGGAGAGTCTGCATTTGTCCTAAATCACTGCCTGTCACAGAGATCCCTGGACAAGCCCATTTCCATCAACATGAATACAGAAATTAAGGGTTGAGAACTTATAGAGCAATGTGGCAGAGTAATTTTATGTCTTGACTCTCATAATAAAAAGGCTTATGTTGTTGTTTTTTTTCCTTTTAGTTCATTTTCT